GTAAGTAAAGCAATGCACGTATGCATGCAATGTGTATAAAAACTTGAAATTCAATACATAGCATTCTTGTTCCAACTTTTAGGGTCCTCCCATGTGTGTACAACACAAATATGTGGTTTGGGGTTGAAGAAAGTGGCCCCAAGGTGTTCAACATTGGCTCGGAAGTGTGAAAAACGGGTGTCGGAGGGCGAAAATGGAATATAACTGGTTGCCAAGATAATTGTTGGCCTCCCACCCTCCAGTGACCTTCCTAGTGATGAAACAGAGGCACCTGCCAAAAATGAACGAAAACCGATGCAAAACAAATGCTCGGGGCTCAAAACACGCAGTTCGGGGTCCCGAAAATGGGCTGTTAAGCACCGAAAGTGGCGTTCGGCCACGAAGTGGGTTTCTCAGACCCCAGTGTCCCTCAAAAGGGAGTAAAAAAGAAGTATGCCAAAAATCGGAACAAACGGAGATGGTTAGGCGGTCCCGAACCGAGGCACACGGCCAACAGTCCCGAAAAACCGGAAACCGGGCTCCGAAATGGGCAAAATGGCCCACGGCCACCAAGTGTAGCCCACGGCCACTGAGAGATGGTCTGCGGGACCTCTCCCTCCCCTCAGGAAAAGAAACAGCGAAAACTGAGCCTGGTTCGCAAACCGAGGCAAAGCACAAAAGAGGGTTCGGAAGTCCGGAGGCAGGGCTCACGGCCGCGACTCTGAAACTTCTAAACAAGCATAAAATGCAAAATCACCAAGTGCTCAACTGGCGACGTCTGAGTCTTAAGGTCGGTCAAAAATGGGGTGTCTACAGCCTTTCGCATGGAGGTCTCCCATATGGTGGTCTTTCGCATGGTGGCTGTCCTCTCATATAGTGGATTTCCTCATGGAGGTCTTCTATATGGTTGTCGGTCGCCCATCGGGATCGGTCGATTGGTCTCCCACGTGGGGGTCTTAGAAATGATCTTGGGCAGACAGCAGACTGACGTATATTTAGAGCTTGGTCCCAAGTCATGATGTTGAACTCCTTCATTGTTGCTTGTGCTCATGTTAGATGAGTGGTTATCTATGTGGTTTGGAGTCTTCTCCATGCTCAGTCTGGCTAAGACTTTGTAAACTCGGTTTGGCCAAGGTCTTCATGCTCAGTCTGGATAAGGCTTTTGTAAACTCGGTTTGGCCAAGGTCTTCATGCTCAATCTGGATGAGGCTTTTGTAAACTCGGTCTGGCCGAGGTCTTCATGCTCAGTATAGTTGAGGCTTTAAGTAATTTGGTCAGGACTCCCCCTTGGTGCTCTGTCTGGCTGAGGCCTTAAGTAGTGCTCAGTCTGGCTGAGACTTTATGTAACTCGGTCTGGCCGAGGTCTTCGTGGGTAGGATCTGATACCATGCCCCTCACGGTTTTAAATTACTCGGTCTAGCCGAGGTCTTCGTGCTCAATCTGGCTGAGGCTTTAAGTAATGCTCAGTCTGGCTGAGGCTTTATGTAACTCAGTCTGGCTGAGGTCTTCATGCTCAGTCTGGCTGAGGCTTTCAGTAGTGCTCAGTCTGGCTGAGGTCTTCATCCTCAGTCTGGCTGAGGCTTTAAGCAATTTGGTCAGGACTCCCCCTTGGTGCTCAGTCTAGCTGAGGCCTTAAGTAGTGCTCAGTCTGGCTGAGACTTTATGTAACTCGGTCTGGCCGAGGTCTTCGTGGGTAGGATCTGATACATGCCCCTCACGACTTTAAATCACTCGGTCTGGTCGAGGTCTTCGTGCTCAGTCTGGCTGAGGCTTTAAGTAATGCTCAGTCTAGCTGAGGCTTTATGTAACTCGGTCTGGCCGAGGTCTTCATGCTTAGTCTGGCTGAGGCTTTTTGATCTGAAATGTTATGAAATGTGCAACATAGATAAAAGAAGTTTGAATATCTTACTCATGATGTCCTTGAGGAGGGAGAAGTAGACCATTCGGATATGGCGATTGTTGCTGAAGTTACCGACCGAGCTATGTTGCCGACCGAACTAGTTTGCTGACCGACCTATGTTGCCGACCGAGTTGCCGACCGAGTTGTCGGCCGACCAATGATGCCAACTGATCTAGTTCCCCGACCGAGCTATGTTGCCGACCAAACTATGTTGCCGACCGCTGACCGAACTAGTTTACCGACCGATCTAGTTTGCCGACCGAGTTATGTTGCCAACCGAGCTATGTTGCTGACCCAGCTATGTTGCCGACCGCCGGCCCGAACTAGTTTGCCGACCGATCTAGTTTGCCGACCGAGCTATGTTGCCGACCGCCGACCGAGTTATGTTGCTGACCACCGACCGAGTTATCGACCGACCAATGATGCCAACCGATCTATGTTGCCGACCGAGCTACGTTGCCGAGTTGGGTTGGTTGGGGGTGCACGGGGCTCAAGGTGCAGGGATGCACGTGATGATGTGACATGACACAGACGTAGGAAAAAAAGAGAGAGTTAGTGGCTTGGGGAGTGAAGCCCATGTCTTCACGTAGGGTAATCTGAGCCTTTGATATGGATCAAATGGGAAATACTTGTCCAGAGCTTTGTTCTTGAACTTTTTGCTTGTTTGTTTGTTGTTTTTTTTTTTTTTTTGAAGTCTTGATGACTTTGAATTGCTTGGTGCGGGGGTTGATTTTGTTGCGTAGGTAGACCTCCGCAGTGCTCACCAATGACAATGGTGAGGTGAGCCGAGAGCGGTGTGAAGAGGCATCGGAGAGCTAAGTTGAAGTACGATTGGATCAGGCTAGGAATGAGATCGTCGGCCATGGATCGGTCTAGAATCATAGTGCCGGAGAGAGAGGTGTAGGCGGGGAAAATGTCACCGTCGCCGCTGGGAAGCCATGAATCATGTGGTAACCATTCATTCCGACACTGAAGGTGGGTGAAAAGGAAACTATTTCCGGTGACAATGAGCACAACCACCAATCGAAAGAGTTTCCCACAGAAGACGGCGCCAATTGATAATACAGTTTTGTCAGATGAGGAATGGGTCGGACAGGGTCCGGATGCTCTATAGGATGATTGAACCTCGTCTTCCCAGTTGTACCTATACCAAGTCCGTCGAGAAGGACGGAGATGGGGTTCCTTCTTGAGGACCCTTCGATGTTTAAGTTATATGAGTCTCTAGTAGAAGAATGGAAGCTTTTAGCTTAGAAAGGAAGTAGAAGGTAGTTAGAGAGAGAGTGATTACTTGTATATATTGTTTTCTTCCATACCTGTCTGGCCTCTTCGCTTACCGTGCCCTGTCAGTCGACCTGTCCTATCAGCCGTAAGTCTATGGTAGTGTTGTCATGTCATGGGCTTCACAGAAAGAGGTTGCTTGTCTCTTCTTCTTGTCTGGCCCCTGGGCCTAAAATTGGGTTAGGAATTGTTTGGACAGCCCATTGGGCCACTTGTTTGGGCTATGCCCATCAACAATAAAACTTGAAAGCGGCAAACGACATCTTTAAGGCGTAACACAACCCAAGTACCTCAAAATGTCGGTTGGAAACATCGTGCTCGTAATGTTCAGGTTGACGAATTTGATGGTGATGAACCCATTGTCAATGATATTGGTGGCAATGAAGAGCAAACGAACATCCCTGCCATTGACCACCACATGGACATTCCTGATGTTGACCATTCCACAGGCATGTCTGGTTCAAGTGAAGAGTTTACTACATCTTTTCCTGGGGGCCCAGTTGATCCTTCCATTTTGACAAATTTTAGTTGTCATGTAGCAACCAAAATTTGGAATAATGAGGTATAACTTACAAACTATTGTCTTGTTTTAATCATTTCAATAAAATAAAATAAAAAATGAGGGATACATGGCACCGTTGTGATATGCAATGATGCAGGAACGAGATTTGTTGAGATGCTTGAACCATGGCTCTAAGGTTGCCAATTAGTTTTTAACATCGGAAGGAGTTGACAACTCTAAATTTGTGGACATTATTAAATATTCAGGATTGTATTCTTTAACTAGTTGCTCATACAAATTTTTGAACAAGGTACCTTTGTTGAAAGATGGCAACTTGAGACTAATAGTTTCCATATGCCATTTGGTGACATGTCCGTGTCATTAGATGATGTAAGTACCATATTAGGAATTCATGTGACTGGTACATCTGTTTCAACTAATAAGTTATCATGGGATGAAGCTGCAAAGGTGTTAGTTAAGTCATTGGAAGTGTTGGAAGATGATGCAGCTGTTGAGTTGAAGGGAGCGCGGGGCGAATTAGTGCGATTAGAATGGTTACATGAAAATTTTCAGTCAGTTTCAGATGCGGATTCAGATGATTTCATTCATTATCTCCAGTTGCTCAAGGATTTGAATTTAGTTCATTCATATGCTTGGGGTGCAGCTGCATTAGCTTTTTTGTATCGGCAATTGGGTATGGTAACAAAGTCTACTGTCAGACAAATAGCGGGATACATGACAGTTGTAAAGGCCCCAAAAAAAAAATCAGAATTTAAACGATGGGTATTTATTTTCCAAAATTGACGGATTAGCAGAATTTTGGTGAAGTTTTGGGTTTTAAGACCTATGACATATTAATTTGGATTTATGTATGTAAGTTTTACTTAACTATTTGGTCCTTTTTAATTATATAAATAGTGGAGACCATCTTGAGTCCATCTAAAATATTTGTAGTCTAGTCTCAATCGAAAATTTATTTTAGATTATTAAACTTTATTCATTTTAGATCCAATTGATTAAATTATGTGTCATCTGTAATTACTTGTTGTTATTATGAGAAGATTGTGAGCATTTATGGTGTGTACTACCAAACGAAATGTATATTTGTGATGAGAAAAAATTATATCATTTTATATTGTAAAATATTAAGATGTTAAAATAAAATTTTAATAGATATATACATATATATATGTATAGATGTATGTATAGATAGATAGATGTATATATATATACATAATAAATTGAAGCAATAAAGGAGGCAACCCACGTGGGTTACCCCCTTCCCTCTTTCCTTACTCTTTTTTTATTTCTTCTTCTTTATTTTGTTTTGGTTGTTTTGGCAGAGACACTTTCTATCTCTCTCTCTCGGCTGCTTTCTCTCTTTCATTTTTTTTATTTTCAAGACACAAAACTCTTGATGCACCACATTTAGAGTTAGAATCTCACCCTAGTCCTTTAGGCCAAAATGATGAGCTTGTTGAGGACATCGTTTTGACTGGTGGAGATTGAATTTCGGGAAGATTGATTTTTGGAGCTTTTTTCCTCTTCTCTTCTAAAGGTAGGGATTTTCTTGATTCTTTATAATACTTTGCTATAGGTAGCTATGTGGTATTTTTTTATTGCACAAAAAAATGATTTTGTTGAGAGTTTTGAAAAGCATGTTGAGGTGAGTTAGGGTTTCAAGTTCATTGGGTTTGATTTCTTGTTTTGTTATTAATTTGGTGAGTTTTGAGCCAATTGAATATATTTATGAGGTTTGTGATGAAAAGCCCTAATCTTAATTATTTGTTTGTTTAACAATCTTGAGAATGAGGTAAATTGGTGAGATTATAACATTGATTAAAGAGGGAAAAAAATGAATGGTTTGCCATGAAATATAACTATATAAAATTTGTTAGGATATTGAGTTAATGAAATTGAATTATTGAAATTGTGGAATATAAAGAAACAATGAAAGATTAAGGATTTTGTAATGTATTTGCTTTGAGCTAGGAATGTATGATCGGGAGAGGAAAAGAAAAATGTAATGGCTTTGAAATTTGCCTTATGTTGAAGCTATTGATGATTGGTAATAGTGGAGTCAAAAGTGGAAATTGTTATGAGAATGTTATTGTCCTAAATGAGATTTTTGAGATAACGTGATAGTTGAGTTAGCTCTAAACAAACATTGCTAAAGAAGAAATATGGAAATGAATTGATAATCATGTTGTGTTATCTATGGAAATTATGTTTTTATTGTATAGAGGTTTTGTCCTTGGCCATCGGTGGAGGATGGTGTTGCTTGTATTGAATGGAATACACATGTTTTGTGTAATGTTTAAAGGTATAACTTTGAATAATGTGTCATGTGATGAAGTGATGAAAGTGTTATATGGAGGTAATGCGTTCCTTCCGGTTAGCACACGGTAAAGCAGGCGGATGTGCTATATAGAGGTAATGCGTTCCTTCCGGTTAGCATCCGGTAAAGCGGGCTGTGCTATATAGAGGTAATGCGTTCCTTCTGGTTAGCAACTGGTAAAGCAGACAGATGTGGGGTTTGGTGAGACCACAGCAGTGATGTGAGGCTTGACAAGTCCTTAAGTTGTTCATTTGATTGCTAATGTGAATACCTGTAGAGATAATTATTGATAAATATATGCATTGAGGATATTGTTAATTTACATGTTGAGATGGATATTATTGAGTTCAGGAATAATATGCATAGTGTTTGATGTAAATGAGTAGCACGAGAGTGCAAGGATTAAATGTGAATTGATTTTGAAAATAAACAACGGGTTAGAATTATTTGGATAATCAGAGATGAATTATAAAAATAAAGAAATAATTAACGTGCATAATGTTCGAGATGTGGATTAGTTAGTTATTTATGTATTTATTTATTTATTTTGAATCTTTCCAAAGGAAAATTGGTCACTACAAGGATGGAGAAATGAATTTTTGTGAAATGATAAAAGAAAGATTCTCTTGAGAAAAGATATACCTATGCACATATATATTTTTGGATATAAAAAGTCACATTATATGTATATAATTATGACTTATAGCATTCATGATCATACCTATCTATGCACTGCTATTGTTTAGGATCATTGGGATTCCTACTGGACATTATTGTTCATCTCATGTTGTTAATCTTTTTTTTCAGGTAGAAAGTTGGAGTTTGTTTCACGACTAAGATGTCCCATTAAATGTGGCCAAAAGGCCTGATCCCTGTAGGCGGGATGCCATTTTGTTGTAAGAGGGTTAATCCCTCTCATCTCATTTTCTTAGTTTTTTTTCTTAATGTAAGCCCAAGGGCACTTGAAATTATTTGTGTTGGTCACGCCACCATTGTGTATTTATACGAGAGAGAACCTCGATTGATTTAATTTATTTTAATCTTGCTTGTTATCTTGAAAATTGACTTAATTAAAGAGTTGTGGTGATGGATTTGAGTAGTAAAAATCTAGGACATTACATGACACTATTGGAGGCTTGGATCTATGAACATTTATATGTGTCAGAACCCATCCAAATTTAAATTATACAGAAAACCAGACTCGAGATTATCGTTGGATTCCTCGCACACAATCTGGTTCATCGGTTGCCATGTTAAAGTCATTGCGAGAGGCGCTTGATAAATTAGAGGCTCATGAGGTAAAAAAGTAATGTGTAATTCCTTTGTGTCATTGATCTTTTACAGAGAACTTATGATTTTGTGTATTCTTTGTAGGTTATTTTTTATCCATATATTGGTAAACGTAAGAACCATCTATTTACTGAAGTTACGTACTACACTAGATTACTGAAATGCATGGATATTGTTGAACCCTATCATCCAGATAGGTTTTTGAGACAGTTTGTAAGGGTGAAAAATATTCCCCCCTCCACTTGTTACACTTTCACGAGGACCTACCACTGGCAAGTATTGCCTTTCGTACAAATATGTAGATCGAATTACAAAGAGGTGGAAAAATCATGTGTTGTCTGAAGTAGAGCGTAGTAAGCCAGTTTTACATCCATGGGATTGCACGCCCAATTACATGGATTGGTATTGTCGCATTTTCCATGTCACTATTCAAAATCCAGCACATCGATCTACATACGACCCTCGTTCTGAAGCATCAATAGCTGACAGTGACTCACAACGCATTGCAAAAGCCTTGACTATAGCACGTCCAATAATGCAGTTAGATTACATTGAAGTCATTAGTGCTCTGGAGTCTCTGTACAATACATTCAAACAAGTGACGCAATTATTAGAAGGCCAACATATAGATGAAGAACAACATTTCCCACCGGAACAACACTCCTTATTGGAACAGCAACAATCCATTGAAAAAAGTTCGATTTATCGTCGTCGCCTTCGTCCTCGTCGTCGCCCTCACTAAACTGGCACTGGACACAACTGAAAATTCATGATCATTTGTGGGATACTATGGATGTTTTGTTATTAGAATGACTGTTTATGTATATTTTTGTATTAGTATGGATGATTATGGACCATCATTTTGACTTAGTAATATTATGGATGATTTTGTCATGGTTCCTTTGATGTACAATAGAAGTTATGTTCGTACCATGGTTTTCAGTTAGTAATTCCATTAATTCTTTTGAGTTATATATGTTGTGTTTTATTATTATGATTGCTTTAACTATTGTTGTTATATTTTTATCGTTATATATACATCATCATTGAGTTTAAGAAATTTACATGTTCGAACCTGTACTCCCGAACATTGCTTATTTGTTCAGGCATATGTTACCGAACAAATATGTAATGTCCGGGCCTGTATTCCCGAACATGAAAAAATGCAAACTTCTGCGAGCTTTAAGAATTTTGACTGTTTAAAGTGTTAAGAAGTCTCCATGTTCGAGCATGTACTCCCGAACATTATTTATTTGTTCGGGAACGTGTTATTGAACAAATAAATAATGTTTAGGAGTACAGGCCTGAACATGAAAAAATGTAAACTTCTGCGAGCTTTAAGAATTTGTGTTAAGAAGTCTCCATGTTCGGGAGTACAGGTCTGAACATGAAAAAATGCAAACTTCTGCGAGTTTTAAGAATTTTGACATTTGGAAGTGTAAAAAAGTTGCCATGTTCGAGCCTGTACTCCCGAACATTACTTATTTGTTCGAGAATGCGTTACCGAATAAATAAGTAATATCCGGGCCTGTATTCCCGAACATGAAAAAATGCAAACTTCTGCAAGCCTTAACAATTTTAACCATTGAAAGTGCTAACAAATTTCCATTTGGTAAAAATTTAATATTTTTTATTAAGAAAGATAAGTAACACCAACCAGTTTCATAAATAAATAAAATTGTAATTCTTCAGATAATAAAAAACATATTATAAACATGCACGTCTACTTCGCTAGAACTTCATATGTCTACATCTAACTCTATTGTCTCAGTTGTCACTACACTCGATCCTACGAGTGAAGTGCAATGCTGCACTCGAGCATTGTAAGCTGTCTCTCATTCTGCTGTAGCAGGTAAATGGTAACGTCGCCAATTCGTTGCTATAGATGGCACCGGGTGACCATGCACCAAGAAGACCTACAAATATGAAATAATGGTAATTACAATTTACTATTGTATTGCTAATAATAAAAACAAATTTGTTTCAATAATGGGCCTCATAATGAGTACCTGAATAAAATGGTTGTTGTTGACGAACCTGATACATATATCCTTGCGAGATGCAATCGGCATTGGGATCATCCTAAGAAGGAGAAAAGTGAGGCATTGTTGAGAAGATAAGTGAAATAACACAACATTGTAAAAAGATGATATCAGGTGACCCATGTCAGGCATTGTCATCCAATGACTATATCCAGCATTTGATTCAAAATACGCTAAAGTAGTAGTTAACTCATCAACTCTTTCTTGGCCCCCAAATAAACTCTTGTAGTGATCTATATGGGCATGTAATTCTTGTAGTAAATCTTTCCTCACTTGCAACCATCCATCTTCCCCAAATCCCATCAATCCAACAATGGATTGAAATCCACAATTACCTTCAGCATGAACATTCTTCATGAGTTGAATATATGGCCTCAAACTTGTAGGAAATTCACCTACAAAAGACAAATTGGTGTTTTTTGATGATCGATGTGGGTATACCTACACACATACAATCCACTGTTATACTTAGTTAATACATGTTGTTGTACAGGTATAAGACATAATTAATCGCTTTGCAAACTCACACCTTTGGTCACTACATTGATTTTAATTTCTTTGGACACGTATTTTTCTTCAAACCTACACTTGGTGAATAGTTATCCTGTGCAGATGAAACAAACTCAAAGGCAGAGGGCTCAAGACGAGTAGAAGTATCCATCTTCAAGGATGGTCGACCCCGTAGGTTAAGCTTCACTTCGAGTTCAATCAGGAATGTACTTTCAGGTGTATGTATCTCCTCCAACTTCTTTAACATTTGAACCTGCATATACTCCCGAACATTATTTATTTGTTCAGGAACGTTTTATTGAACAAATAAATAATGTTTGGGAGTACAGGCCTGAACATGAAAAAATGCAAACTTCTGCGAGCTTTAAGAATTTGTGTTAAGAAGTCTCCATGTTCGGGAGTACAGGTCTGAACATGAAAAAATGCAAACTTCTGCGAGCTTTAAGAATTTGTGTTAAGAAGTCTCCATGTTCGGGAGTACAGGTCTGAACATGAAAAAACGCAAACTTCTGCGAGTTTTAAGAATTTTGACAGTTGGAAGTGTAAAAAAGTCGCCATGTTCGGGCCTGTACTCCCGAACATTACTTATTTGTTCGAGAATACGTTACCGAACAAATAAGTAATATCCAGGCCTATATTCCCGAACATGAAAAAATGCAAACTTCTGCGAGCCTTAACAATTTTAACCGTTGAAAGTGCTAACAAATTTCCATTTGGTCAAAATTTAATATTTTTTATTAAGAAAGATAAGTAACACCAACCAGTTTCATAAATAAATAAAACTGTAATTCTTCAGATAATAAAAAACATATTATAAACATGCACACCTACTTCGCTAGAACTTCATATGTCTACATCTAACTCTATTGTCTCAGTTGTCGCTACACTCGATCCTACGAGTGAAGTGAAATGCTGCACTCGAGCATTGTAAGCTGTCTCTCATTCTGCTGTAGCAGGTAAATGGTAACGTCGCCAATTTGTTGCTATAGATGGCACCGGGTGACCATGCACCAAGAAGACCTACAAATATGAAATAATGGTAATTACAATTTACTATTGTATTGCTAATAATAAAAACAAATTTGTTTCAATAATGGGCCTCATAATGAGTACCTGAATGAAATGGTTGTTGTTGACGAACCCGATACATATATCCTTACGAAATGCAATCGGCATTGGGATCGTCCTAAGAGGGAGAAAAGTGAGGCATTGTTGAGAAGATAAGTGAAATAACACAACATTGTAAAAAGATGATATCAGATGACCCATGTCAAGCATTGTCATCCAATGACTATATCCAGCATTTGATTCAAAATACGCTAAAGTAGTAGTTAACTCATCAATTCTTTCTTGGCCCCCAAATAAACTCTTGTAGTGATCTATATGGGCATGTAATTCTTGTAGTAAATCTTTCCTCACTTGCAACCATCCATCTTCTCCAAATCTCATCAATCCAACAATGGTTCAGAATCCACAATTACCATCAACATCAACATTCTTCACGAGTTGAATATATGGCCTCAAACTTGAAGGAAATTCACCTACAAAAGAAAATATGATTTTTTTTGTTGATCGATGTGGGTATAGCTACACACATAAAAATCCATTGCTAAAGTTAGTTAATACAAGTTATTATACAGGTATAAACATAATTAATCAGTTTACAAACGCACACCTTTGGTCGCTGCATTGATTTTAATTTCTTTGGACACGTATTTTTCTTCAAACCTACACTTGGTGAATAGTTATCCTGTGCAGATGAAACAAACTCAAAGGCAGAGGGCTCACGACGAGTAGAAGCATCAATCTTCAAGGAAGGTTGACCCCGTGGGTTAAGCTTCACTTCAGGTTCAATCAAGAATGTACTCTCAGGTGTATGTATCTCCCTTAACTTCTTTAACATTTGAACCTGCATAGTTTGATCTACCTCTTCGTAATGTCGAGCAAACATATCCAACTTTGATTTGCAATCCAAAAATGAATTTGATTTTTTAGGAGTATTAAGCATGTCAAGCTTGGACCAATGTGGATCTACAGAAGTTAGAGGAATTGGTCGGTTTTCTCTCATATAATCTGCTATTTCATGTGCACATGGTAATCCATGTGTACGCCGAACAACACAACCATATGTAACAATGTCAATGCCAACAAAAGGTGCTCACTTGGACTCTGCCAATATCATTTCCAATGCTACAATAGACACGTTCCCACAAAGATCTTTAAATTGAGCAGGCTTGAAATTATGTTATTGCACAACTATCTTGCTCTTCTCAAACGATGATTTGATGTCAGTGTGTTACAACTCAAGCAAATTGTGTATCCTTGACCAATTTGATTGAAAACTCCCTTGACTTGATCCAAGATATCTCTTGAGCTTTGCATGTGAACTCTTTACCCTATATATGTAAACCATTACAACGGTAAAACAGGAAATATACATTTTTTTAAAAAATAATAATTGAATTTACCTGTTCGTTGTTGAATTTCCCAAGTGCATACATATATCTATCCATGTAGTTACAAATCTCTCCTTATATGTATCCAACCAAGAAGATGTAACATATTGAAGTGCCTCTACATAAAAGGTGAACTCATTTTGTAACAATACAAATCGTTGCATGTACACTTCTTCAAAAAATGACATAACCAACATATTCCAACTTGTTATAAACATATCCCATTTCTCCTTCTTCTCAAACAATTTCTTGCATTTGGCCAACACATTTTTATTAATACGTCATCTACATAACAAACTTGTAGCTTGTGGAAATATCATTGCAATAGCATTTATTAGACTCAATTCTCTGTATGAAACAATAACATTGGGAAAATTATTCTCATCCATCAAACTACGCAAAATACCAAGTGCCCATGCATAATTATCCTCCCTCTTATACTGGAGGTATGCAAAACCCACAGAGAAAGTCTTTTTAGTGGATGTTACTCCTATAATCTCTAAAAGTGGCAAACGATATCGATTGATCTTATTTGTACAATCCATTGGTAACACACATGGGAATGCATGTAGCAAATCCAAACTAACTGGATGTGCAAAGAACAAATCGGTAACAGTCTCAGTATCTTTATAGTTCTTATGTCATTCTATGTATTTGTTCACCGCTAACTGACCCAATAATAGTTGCATTTCAGATCTCCCAGCCTTTTCAAAAACTTTATGCCGTTGACATGCATTGTAGATTGTTTTCATTGTGGAAACATTTTCACTATTGCGTTGTTTAAGTGTGACTAATAGCTCACTTGGTCGTACATTACTGTTCGACATATCAACCAACAAAGAAGTTTCCTTATATGATAACCTCCTAGAAAAAGAATGACCTTCAAGACAAACCGCAGCAGGATGATTATGCATACTACATATCACGATCAATGTCCAATCATCGTTTGTATCTAATTTTTTAGCTTTTAAAAGAAAAGAACAATCACATTTTTTAGTACTGGTAAGCTTCAATTTTTTTTTCCTTAGGTCTAATGTTTTTCCTAGTATCCCTATAACATCCACTCCACTCACAAGCAAGAGTTAGTCTTTGTTTCTTACGATGAGTACCACCCATATATGGTTTCTTCACGACAATAACCAAACCATTTCTCCTCCCAACATCACGTGCCCACCAAATTAATTCATCTCGAGACTTGAATATCTAAAATTGTAAAAATAAAGTAATGATTTTGTTACCAATATACACATAAAGAAATAAATTAATGCACATTAACAATATATATGTGAAAAAGATTTGTATATAATTTTCAATGCGTTTATATATTACCTCATGAGTCACAAATTTATTACTATAATTTGTTATGAATTCTGAGCCAACTTTGTTGTTTCTATTTGACTCCCCATCATCCTAAAATAAATAACAATACAAATTAAATTTCAAAATTTGATTGGTAAAACAAGTCCAAACCTATGAATAATGTTCAGTTACCTGCTTCCGAACAAATAATAAATGTTCGGTTATCGGTTTCCGAACAAATAAACAATGTTCGAGCCTGTGTTTCCAAATTTTGGTCAAATGTTCGGGAGTTCAGTCCCGAAAAAATGACGAACAAATTTTATTGTTTTTGTCATTTTTTAAAGAAACTTACTCTTACAAGTCCAATCTCCTCTGAGCTAAAAGCAATCTCAAAATTATGAATCTTCTCTGAGTTTTTATTGTCGTACTCCTCTCGTTTTATGGAGTTGTGGTTGTCTGAAAAATTTTCACTCATTGTTATTGCCGAAGTCAAATGGTTGCCACCGTTAACACCGGAATATTGCTGCCAAAGGATTTTCAAGATTTTGAGAGTAGGTAAGTTTTGAAGGTAGAATTTGAGGAAGATGAATGAGTGGCGATTGAGGTGGGTGTTCACATAAATCTTAATTCATAATATAGTGGGTGTGTAGGTTTAATTATAATATAGATATTCCAAAATTAATAATGTCTTTTTTAATAATGGGGAATTTATCGGAAAGTCCTATCTGACTAAATTATGTTCCGTTTGGTCCCACGAATTTTTTGTTTGATTGGTCAGTCCATGTTAGGAGGAATATTTTACTAATAACTCCTCTTTTAAATTTACATTGTTATGTGGTGGACGAATATGCTCTCACATAATTTGTGGGACTTTTTTTGTTTTATTTTGAGTAAGTAATCTCACGTTTGATGGGACGGCTGGAGGTGTGAGATATTGGTGGGGATGTATGTATACTCCACTTTAGTGTTTGTGTTTTGCTGCTAACATCCTCTGTGTCAGTCCACCATTGTTGGGTCTATCATGAACATCGTCGGCTTCCCACAGCTAAGTTCCACACTTCATATTTATGCAGTCCCCATCGAATTTCTGGGTTGCACAACTTACACAAATTCCGGCGACCATCCACCTGACTTTTCCCGTTTGTGTTGTTAACTTTAACTGCGAGTGGAATGTCACATAGCTACGTCATTGACTGAACCAAAATTTTCCGGTTGGTGTTGTACACACTGGCCTTACGATGAGGTTGCCAAATCAATACTCTAACACATAAACTTTATACAAAAAACTCGAACGTCTACGTTGTGCACTATGGAACTTTGACCATGAACTCTCACCCTTTGATGTGACTACTAATATCATGTACAACATAAAAAAAAGAAGAACAGGAATATGATGTTAACCACAAAAACAAAAAACTTACAACTCGCAGACATTGTCCACGTTCACGTCGCAGAAAATAGTCCACTACCACTTCGCTAAACCGGGTTCACAGTCGACACCACTGATCAAGCAACAGAACTAGGGTTCTTCACCCCATAACAATCAATGATAGGTATAAACACACCACTTCTGATATGCACAAACACTGTATCAATTATTCCTTCAATTTCTTCCGTCTGTTTCGAGATTAGGTTGACGTGAATTTGCAAACTGTAAGGGGGCAATTTCAACAACTGCTACGGTTCACGTCGCCAATAGCAACCGATTCGTTTTTTCAATTTGGGGATGATTCCTACTTCGAAAACATCTAAATGGGGCACACCCAATAAATGAACAACTTACGTTTCTCAGTCATTGACTGTGAATTTTCTAGCCACCGACAATGCAACTCAACTATGATCAGAAGAGTGTCACCCTGCAACACCCTCTGTTCCAGTAATATATTAGGGTTCTTCATGAAGAGGAAATCAACGGGAACAAACACCGCAGAAAGTCGGATGAACACAACCAATGCGTAAAATGTTACCTTAATCTGAAGCGTGGGTTTCAGAATCATAGAATTTGAAATTCAAATCATAAAAGTGGATAATCATCCCAAATGTTAGGGTTCGCGTCGCTAGTCAACACCGATTTGTATTTCATAAATGGCAATGCTTACCAATTTTTGGGAAAATTATGTTGGGTTGGTTTGCAACTCAACCGAGTTAGATTCCACGGGTGGGTGGGTTCAACCACGTGACACCACAACCCCCACGTGACATGTACCCCACTCTCACCATTTACCACACATCCACGTCTACCAGCTTGTAATTCACACCATCCAAAAAAGAGTACTACTACCTTTTCTACTGTGACGTAAAACTCAAACACACTCCTCTTCGTACACACATGCGCGCTGGCCAAATAGAAATAAATACCTTAATGGCAAAATAGTAAACAAACAATTATGAGGACTAAACGGTTTAAAAAAAAATAATTAGGATCACATGTTCTACAAGATGAAAAAATAGGATTTACTAGTCAATTTCCCTTATTTAAATTATTTAAATATTTATGATTTAAATTTTTTGAATATTTATTTTAAAAAAAAATTATTTCCTTTGTAATATTTTCAATTAAAAAATTGATTAATGTTATTTTCTGTTAATAATAATTTTTTTTAATTGAATTTTAAAAAAACAACAACAACTAGAAGACGAAGCAAATCACTTACTCTCACCATGATCTCCAAACCATCTTCTTCTACTCCCTCATCGCCTCACTTCCACCTTCTCTCCACCACCGGTACGGTACGCCTATCCAATTCTCTGTTTTTAGAGCATTGATTCTTTCTAGGGTTATTTATTTATTTAATTTTTTTAATCCAAATTGAGTTTTGTTTGTTGCGTTGGTTCTTGCTTGTTTGGTGTGGTCTCAAGAGTGTTCTGACGGTAGCTTTTTGTTTCGGTTCGGGGACGCGAGTGAGCTTGCAAGAAATGTTGTGATGGAGGAGCCCAGTGTTGGGAGTGGACCATTGGTCAGTGAAGAAGATTTGGAAAATTCTAATGTCGTGAGGGTTTTGGATGGCGAGCATGAGAGGCATATTATAGTTAAAGAGATAGAGAGAGAAGTAAGAGGATATAGCTCGAATGAGATTGCCGACGTTATGGATATAGATATAGTTGCGGGCTGCGAACACAGTGAGGTTGATGATAATGATGGCTCTGTAGTTGTAGATGTGAGTGATTGTGGAGTGGAATTGAATGAAAGGTTGTTAGAAGATAGACAAGAATTACAACTGCCTGTATCTGAAGTTGTTCGTGCCGAAACAAATGATTCTTGCAACTCTAAAGCTATTGATGTTGTTTCTGATATCAAAGAAAGCGATTCTTCTAGCTCTATATTTGCTATTGATCTGGAAAAAACTCTGCATACTGTGGAAACAAATGATTCTTCTACCTGTGAAGCTATTGATGTTGTTTCTGATATCAAAGACAGTGATTCTTCTAGCTCTAGATTTGTCATTGATTCAGAAAAAAGCATGCATACTGTTGAAGGTTCTATGGAGAACGATAGGCATAATGACATTTCAGGTCGAGTTAGTGTTTTCCAGCTCAATGAAACGAGTAACACAGAAAACAGTGGTTCTGTATCTGAGGAAGTTTTTGAAGAGAGGAGTGAAGGCGAAACTATACCTTCATCGACTACTTTTGAGCACAACTCTGTTTTTGAAGTACCCAATAGTTTTGCATCTGAGAAAAGTAGTGACAAGAATGGTGGCATTGAAGTTGATCATTTGACCATAAATGCTGTGAATCATACAGTGGAGGCTGGGATAGGCTATGAGTGTGACAGAGATATTGGTGGAAGTAACGTGATTGAAATCATGCCTGTATCCAATTCAAGGGAAGCTGAACCAATTCTTGATGGGGAAACTAATCATGACATGTTGGAAGAATTTGTTGACACAACCAGAACTGAAAGCTTAACAAAGGTTGGCTTATATTATTCTCTTTCTCTTTACTAATGTTGATAGTTTGCATTTCACTTGCCTAATTATCCTGACTTTTTATTATAACGGAAAATTTTAAATTTTTACTGCATAAGGTATTATTAAGATCGAAAATATAGTAGAAGATTGTTTAGAGTAAAACATTTTAAATTCAATGGTGGTGTCCTACAATATGCTGGAATTGGTCGATGATTAATTGTTGACAATTGTAGAACTTAAATAGAGTGATAGGAAGTAGGTTTATAAACAAGCTAAGTCAAGTTGAGTAGTAGGTTGTTCAAGATTGGATTACAAAATTAACGAGCTTCACCAAGCCAAACTATGCATTTAATCGTTTGGGGAAAAGATTGTACTTTACTTTTGCATCTTTGTTGTTTGTAGGCCCATGAAAGTGCCCCTAACATAGTATTGGAAGCAGAAAAAACTGCCAATGATGGGCAGAACAGTGACCTTGTAGAAGTATCAGGTGATGAAGTGGTAGATTTGGAATTGACTGCAACTGCTGTGACTAGGTATTCTGCTTATCCCCTCTCTCCTGTCCTGTCTCTCTTTTGTAAACACATGCAACTACCGATTTCACCTAACATTTTCTGCATTAACTGAATCACTCTCTTTACAATCACAATTTGCATTTAGGTTGCTTAATCACAAAATAACATATTATTCTTTATGTGATATGTTCTGCCTATTTTCTTTTGATCTGTAATATCATTTGCACTAACAGCATCAAAGGGAATGCACATGTACTATCTCTTTAGTCCTATGTGAGCATCTTTTTTCTTGTAGCAAATGTCAATTCCTTGGCTTATTTCTATGGCTACTTTTCCGTTCAACATTATCTAGAGCCATATGCTCCACCAAAGCTTTGGCAATCGTGTTTTCTCACACAATTTTGAACCATGGTTATTTCGCTTCCTCTCCCTTTGTGTTGAACTTTCTAGCCATCTCTCTCTCTCTTTCTCTCTCTCTCTCTCTCTCTCTAATGTTATTACACCCTTCTGTCTTAACATCCTCATTTCAGGTACATTCTTTTTGTGAAAATTTTATTTTTCCTAACTACCCAACATTTTGCATCCAACATGAAGCCTAATCAGCATCTTTTCTACTTTACTGATCTCATTGTCAACAATCGCATCATAATTGATAGCACTTTTCCAAATCGCCTCTTTTTATGGCTAGGAAAGCCAAAGCTATAAGAATATGTTACTTTGTGGCATCTCGACCCTGAGGGATTTATCCTGGCATATTAAGCTCAATTCATTAAAGACCAGTGAGTTCAGTTTTTCAATTTACTTAGGGATGATTATTTATTCATCTAATCATCATGTTTATGCATTTTACTTTTAAACAGGGTGGAAATCTCAACAGAACGATATTTCCTGTCTTCTGGTGCTTCATTATTGCCGCATCCCTCTAAGGTATCTCTGTAGGATGGATATGACGTTTTTATGTGCTTTTGGACTCTTAAGAATAAGAAAAATGACTTCCTTGTGTAATATTTGGGTATTTAAACTGACAAACAAGTGAGTAGTAGGATTCTAATTATACTAAGTTACTCGAATTTGGGCTATTCTTATTTTGGGATTTAATGTTGTTTTGGGAACTAGCTATTTTAGTTGGATTTTTGACTTTTTATGAAAAGAAGTACAAAAAAGTGATAGAAGAGTTGATTTTTTGGTAGTGACTTCGAGGCTATATGAGGTGATTGCCAAAACACCCCTTAGAAAGAAAAAGGAGCTGTTGTGACTTTCTCCGGATGATTGTGGTGTTTTTTTAATTATAAAACAAAATAAAAATGGGAGGGGGGTTGAGGGGGGGTAGGTAACTTAAAATTTTGTTTACATATTAGATTTTATTCTTGAGAGAAAAATTTGAATTTGAGCCAAGCAGTATGTTTTAGTTATTGTTGTTGTCATTTCTAGTAGGCCATGAACTAGATCAGAATCATTCTCAGTGAGTCCATAAGAAGTGATCCCATTTTTAATGCAAATACGTGAAGAATTTTCTTATAAAGCTAGCAGTGATAATAACATTTAGATTGCATTTTGGAAGCATTATAATGTTTTTAAATATTGTAGCATACTATAAATATATATCAAGTTTTAGGTAACCTATGGTATTTGGTTTTATTCTCCTGGTATAAAATTATCATAGGTAAATAATTCAGCAATAATTAATGTCAGGCATTGACAGGTGGGGAGGACGCTTACTATGTTGCTACCCAGTGGTTAGGTGTGGCTGATGGAGTTGGTCAGTGGTCACTAGAAGGTAACCCTTTTTTTCATATAATTTTGTGCAGTGTGCATACCAATCTACACTTTCTATTCCTAGGTGTCCATGTCAACTTATATTTTCCCATTTCTTTGTGTGTGTGGATGGTTTTACCTATAGTGTGCAATCTTTATTTTGTTGTTTAATATCTTAATAGATGCACATGTACACCTATTCAATCAACAACTGTTCCTAAGTCAACTTTTAGATATCCCAATAGGCAATAATCTGCAGTTGTTTGATACAGACCTGTATCTTCATCTTTGTTTTTCTTTATTTTCTTCCTAATTTTTCTCTTCCAAAAATACAGTCTTGACATATCTAGGTTTTGTGCAGGCATAGTTGGTTTGTTCTACATGTTGAGAATATAAATATTTAAGTTTCACATCTCTTAGCAGCACAAGTTTTAGGTCATTAATTATCAAACATAGTATCATTGTAGGCAATAGTTCTCTGTGTTCGAACATCACCACCTACCCGATATAATTGTAATACTTTCTCTTCTATATACAAGTGGTACCCCCTTAGCATCGTTTTATTATAAAATTTTATTTATAATATTCATATAATACTACTAAAATGCATGCATGTGTTTGGTCCACTAGTGGTGGAGAGATTGGCCAAATATATGGGAGCATGTTGAAAACATAAATATTTTATTTATTCCTGTGTTTAGTTAGGTTAAGATTTTAGATGAGTTAGTCATTTTTCATTCATTTTTCAGGGATTAACCCAGGAGTTTATGCCCAAGAACTGATGGAGAATTGTCGAAAGATTGTCTCACAGTGCAATAGTATTCCCTTAAGTAATCCTGTGGAAGTTCTTAATCAAAGTGCTCTTGAAGCACAATCTCCAGGATCATCAACAATACTGGTTGCTTACTTTGATGGTCAGGTAACTGTACTTATCTTAATACTCCTGTTGGTCATTACATGTGTACGTATACATCTGTAAGTAGTCAGTTTTTTATTTTTGCATTTTGCCTAATGATAAACAATACAGTCTGTCAGCAACACATGCATGATAATTGTGAGAAGCAATACATTACAGATGATTACGTACTGGTTCACTTTTACCACTTCACAAAAAAAAAAGTATTCAAAAGTTTACTTAGGGGTGGTTTGGGATGTCCTAAATAAGTGCACTTTTTGACTTTTTATAAAAAGATGTGTAGAAAAGTAGAGAGGAGATGTTGATTGATATGACCCAAAAAAGATAAAAAGATAAAAAGATGGGCTAAAATAGGTTATGCCAAACCACCCCTTACTTTTGGTTTGAAGTTCAAGAGAATGCATCATAGAAGCTCAATTCTGCATTCTATACCTCCAACCTCCACCCACACACACACATGTGCACACAAATAATATATATATATATAATGGAACGAAAGGGAGGAAGAAGAGAAGTGTTCATTTGACAATGCACAAAACCTGAGAATATTTAGTCATGTTCATAATGCAAGGTGTCCATTTGAGGGACTGTTTAACAAAAAATTCCTTGATAAATATTGTATCTAAACCCTGATTTTGAACATTAAATATGAAGGAATGAATGCTTAACTCTGAATTGCTTGTGAAAATGCATTATTGTCATGTTTTTCATTCAAGAAGAACCAAAGAACCACTTCTGAAATGCTGTACAGCATTCTTCTTTGTTTTAATTTAGTTATTCTTTCATTTTTTTATTTTATTTTTCGCCTACAGCTTGTCATTTGTAGAAGATAGAATTGCAACGCTTTTAGAGCTTCTGGTTGCAAGGTTATTAACTGACAGTTTTAACGTGCATCAGGCTCTTCATGTGGCCAATATTGGAGACTCGGGATTTATTGTAATAAGAAACGGTGCTGTTTTTATGAAGTCTTCACCGATGCTTTATGAGTTCAACTTTCCATATCAGATTGAAAGTGGAGATGATCTCTCAGACCTTGTGGAGGTATGTTGTATGAAGTATCAATGCATGTCCAGGCATCCTCTAAAAAGCAGTTTTCTTGTCTGAAAAAAGCCAAAGGGTTATTTACAAGAAGACCTCTTAAACTATTGAGAAGTATCACTTTAACCCCCTGCATTACAAAAGTGCACAAATGAACCCCTACACTATTAAGAAGTATTGCTTTCCAACCAAAAAAAGCTACTGTTTGTGGGAATCTATGCAGCGTTGTGCAAAGACCATATTACCCTCCATACTTGGTTTGGTGCATTGGTCACAACTGTCCAAGGGTGATACAGTAATTTAAGATGCATAAGCATTTTTAGCTTCTAAAATCAAAAGGCAAAAAAGCTACTAAAACACAATTACCTAATACCTCGTAAATGTTTGGAGAATGTTAATTTATAGGATTGACATAGGCAATTTACAAATGAAATTTATTAAGCAACTAGAAATGGTTAATTTGTTATGTTTTACCATTTGCATTCAGGTATACAGAATTTATTTGGACGAGGGTGATGTGATTATCACTGCAACTGATGGCCTTTTCGACAATCTATATGACCAAGAAATAAGTTTAGTTGTCTCCAAGTCACTGCAAGCCAAATTAAAACCCGAGGTGCTTCAAAAACACATTCTTGTTCGCATTTTCTCAGTGTTTTTTATTTTGTGTGTGACTATAATCGTTTATTTTTTTCTGTTTTCTGTGTTTTTTTGCCCTCTTTAGGAAATAGCAGAAGTGTTGGCCATGAGAGCACAAGAGGTAGGGAGCACAAAAGCTTGTAGGAGTCCATTTGCTGATGCAATCCAGGCAGCTGGATATGTGGGATTTACCGGTGGCAAGCTTGATGATGTGACTGTTATTGTTTCTTTGGTCCAAAAAAAGATCGAGCCCCTGCATTGAACAATTTCGATCAGATTTTCATCTTCTTCTTTTATCACAGAGGGGGAATCTTTTTGGTATGTTGACTGCAACCTCTCCTGTTTTGTCTTATTGTTTGGTGTATATATTCTGTTTTTCTTTTCATGTGTGTAAATGATGTAATTGTTTGTTAGATTTACACTACCAAGTTCCATTTATACCCCTTTTTGTTTACCTAATATCATGAAATGAATTTTAGCAATTAAATCATATTTGAAGGCCTTAAGACTTCAGATCTAATACCATTTGATCAACTTTGAGCTGCCCTTGGCATTTGTTTTATAAGAGATAAGATTTACAGTTTGGGTTCTTTAGCCATAAAAGCATGCTTAAGCATGGTTTGACAAGTGGGTTTGGATAGGTTTGGGGCTATTTTAGTCATAAAAAGTAAAACAGGCTATTTTAGCCACAACAAACAAAACATCATATCCAATCCATAATCATTACACTCTTCTCTCTAAAAAAAAGTCAAAAAAGTCAAACTGTCAAAAAGCCTTTCCCAAACCAAGCTTTTTAGCTCAGACTAAAAAAGCCAAAAAAGCCAAAAAGTCAACCCACTTCCCAAAGGACATTAGTTTGGTTTCACTTTTTTTGGCTCTCTTTCTGACTTTAAGCTCCACATATCTTATTTTTATGGAATTTTTGGACTTTGAAAAAATGTGTTGAATTCTACAAGTTTATCATAATTACGCTTAGATTCTTTTATGATTTTAATTTATATGACACTTGTCACTCTCTTTATCAGTAATTTATTAGTCGTATAGATAGAAAAATAAGATATTTTCTTTTATATTGAAATATACATTTTATTCTTATGTTTACATACGGTTTACATTAACTATAATTATTTTAACCCTACTTAAAAAGAATTGGATGTAATTATGTTAAACTTATAACACCTAGGAGTGTATTAGGAACTTGGCTTTTAGCCACTTTTTTAGGTTCGTAGAAAAAGTTAAAAGTTAACTTTTTTTTGTATTTTTTTCATTTGAGAAGTTGGTTTTTAGTTATTGATAAAATTACAATTCTACCCCTAATCGAGAGTTGATTTTTAGTCGGTGCCACTGACCTTTAAAAAAAATAGAAATAAGAAAAAGAGAGATAGAGAGAACTTTCTAAATAGAACAGAAATACCTTTTGAAGAAAAGTAGTTCATATGTAGAAAGTAAGCATTAATGTCATTCCACCGAAAAAAAATTTTGGGCCCTCTGTCACTAACCACATCACAGTTCATCCCATCATATATCCTCCAACTCTCACAAATCAAGGGATATGATTGCAATAAAATAAGAAATTTAAGATTCAAATTATTTAAATTAAAATTATGAAAATTAAAGTAAAAGTTGAGTTAAATTAGAGGAAAAAATCAATTAAGTGTAGATTTATAAAAATATTTTTAAATTAATAATAAACTTTACATATATTAAAATAAAGAGTCATAAACTTTTCTATTAGTTAGTAATTAATTTTTAAAAATACAAGTGCAGTGTAATTGCCCTTTAAATTAAAGGAACTAATAATGTAATTTATTCATAATAGGGTATGCCCGTGTTTAAAGGCACGGTGAAACTATTATTGAAATGAAAATGTAATTGGAAGAATTTTAAGATTTTAAACAAACAATAAAATGTAAGTCTCACAACACAGAAACATATAATAAAAATCAGACGAAATACGCCAACCAATGCTTTGCAATAGAAAAAATAAATAAATTAATTAAGCACACCAGTTCGTGCTCTGCAATACAAAGAAAATGCCAAATAATAAATTAAGCACATCAACCAATATTCTACAATATAAAAAAAAAAAGGACATATAACAAATTAAGTACGTCAATCAATGCTCCACAATAGAAAAAAATAACAAATAAATAAAGCACACCAGCCGTGCTTTGCAATTCAAAAAAAATGATAAAAATTGTGCAATGAACAATTATTTTAAAAGATTAATACGTACACAATCCAATCCTATATTAAAAGCAACACCCTTCTTGTTAAAAATATATAAGAAAGCAAAAATTCAAATTCAACAAAAAAAAAAAATATGATTGCTAATTCAAGAGCATATTAGGAAGAAAAAAGAAAAAAGGCTGACCGAGTGAATAATTCAAATGAATATTATATAACATAAACATATATCTAAACTTTAGTTATAAATTGCACATGGATAAAAGGCTTTACAAAATTAAATTCACATTGATAGGAAACTTTACAAAATCTAGATCGCAGCTAGCATATGTACTCTTTTCACAAAAAATAAATATGATTTTCAAACTTGTTCTTTCTTAGAATTCGTAGGAGCACCTCATCACTTTCCAAAAAGTCTTTGTATCAACTTCTATGTATCCCCAATGAGGAGCATGCACAACAATCTAGTAATTTATGAAAATAAAAAAGTTAGTATATTAGTAGAAGAAAATCTATATAAATATCAAAACACTCTTAGCATTTCTTTCTTGAAGAAATTGAAACTATAAATACAAAAGAATTAGAGGTAAAAAAAATTTTAAATGTATGCATGTAAGAAAATGAGTAAAAAGAGTCAATATTACAGTTTGACATAGGTCTCCATCCATCAGAAAAGAGCATTTTGTTATCAGGAAATTAGATAAAAAATAATGAAATGAAAAGAAAAGAAAATTGACTTCAACTTATAAGAAAGGTGTATTTTTTTTATTTTTTTTTTTTGTTCAAATAAATTAAAAAGAAAACAACTTAGGTGACCAAAAATGGTAATATTGTCCATAATTTGAGGTTCAAGGTCAATGGTGTCTCAACCTGAAAGTGTCTGGTTATGTAAATTAGATAAAGATAACTGTAAGAAGGCAGAATGAGGTTTAATAATGTAGTTAACAACCTACTTTAAGAAGTTCATTTGTGCATGAATATGACAAATGGAGAAATTGAACTGTCTAAAGGCACGGTGTAAATTATGTTAGTATCAAAATGTAGTTGTAATTTATACGCATCATGTTGAACTTTGTAGAGTCTGTAGCATTTTTTGATTTTTGATAAAAACACTGAAAAAATATAAAGAAATATTATTCTTTGTAAAGAACTTTTAACAAGTAGCAAATCGGATAATAAAATATAAAAATTAATTTCAAAGAGAGGGTTACAATAAAGATGAGAAGAGCAAGTACATAAACAGAACGAAAAGGGAAGAATAAGAGCTATGTAAAGTACAGAATAAAAAGTATATTCGTGCGTAAAGACACGATGTAGTTGAATACAAATGTAATTTATCAAAATGTAGTTGAATACAAATGTAATTTATCGAAAAACGTACCAAAAACTTAAGACATTGAGAAATATAAAGAAGTTTCACTTCTTCCTCAAGCTCTCTAATGTGAACCTATTAAGCAAATTTAAAGCAATGATTCAGATATATAGAACCACAAACACAATGTTTCATATACAAATTACCATATATGTAAATAAAAAAATTAAATTAGAAGTGATTTTCTACTTTGAAACACTCTTACTGCAATTGAAACCTTCTTAGATGCATATCAATACCAAAAATAATTGAAAAAATTAACTCAAAATAAATAAATATATCCAAAAGAATCACGATAAACAAAATACATCTTTTAGAAATGAAGGAGCACCAAATCCAAAATTAGTAAGAGCACTTCTCAAAATAATAATAACAATCATAAAAATTATAAGAACATTACCCCAAAACAAAACCCACTGCTCACATCTGTTGTGCACCGCAACTCATTATCATTCTGCAAATCACCACTGAATAATGTCCTAGATAAAGCTTAAGTAAATACAAAAGTATTCAATAAATATCAAAAATATTTTGTCTAATTTGAAACTATGAGTAAAAATATGCGCATCTATTTTAGTTCCAGCTTAATGTTAACGGTCAGGTTAACCTTAATGTTCATATTAACCCATTTAAAGTTAACAATCCTCAACCCATTTGACTAACACGAAATAAAAATGGGTGTTAACATGAAACCAATTTTTTCCTTAACCCCAATTTGATTTGATAAAGGGCGAGACTTTGTTGATGATGGTGGGGATGATGGGATGGGGAAAAAAAAATAGAGTATCCAAATTTGTAGGGTCACCCATAAGTTAATTAGTGACATTTTTGACAAATGCTTTTCGTGTACAAAAAGCCTAAGTTCAAGTTTGATTTGTTTTTGTATAATTTATTTTTTTAATTCTGACCCATAATTTATTTGTTTAAGGTTTCAACCTTGTTCTGATTTTTTTTTTTTTAAATGCATTCTCTCGGCTAAATTAATAATGTCCACTCTTAAAAGGATGGACATCATATTAATAAAATTTGTTTGCCTAAGTTCAAGTTGGATTTGCTTTTGTATAATTTATTTTTTTAATTCTGACCCATAATTTATTTGTTTAAGGTTTCAATCTTGTTCTGATTTTTTTTTAATGCATTCTCTTAGCTAAATTAATAATGTCCACTCTTAAAAGAATGCACATTATATTAATAAAAAAAAAATATTTATCAAAAAAAAAAAAGGATGCACATCGTTAGATAGTTATGAATTTTTATGATGAAAATTGCCAATGTTTGTGGTGTGTGTTAAAGTCAATTTGTGGTAAAATTATAAATTGCAAATTTATTGTGTGTGCACCAATAAAAAAAATATATATCTATGACAGTATGTTTTAGATGCAATTTAATCTCGTTTTAATCTCGATTTTTTTTTTTTTTTTTTGTGAGTGTGTAAATTCCATTGAAACATTTTAACAAATACTTAATAAGTAAGGAAGATAGAATGGTTATCAAATATTTTAGTAACAACCAAACGATAATAAGAACACAACAACCATTCAATAGAGTAACTCAATAAAATAGTCCCACAAATTCCTATTAAATCAAAGTAAATGAGTTTCGTGGAACCCAACTAACTCTTCATATATGTGTGTATATATACATAGATAATATATATGCATAAGAAAATCAACAAAACTCATAAAAATATATGCAAAATCCTACATGCATCTAGAAAAAAAACAAAGGGAAAATCGTTACAATTTGATTTTGGAAAAAAAAAATTTGTAATCAATATATATATACACACAATAACCCCCATTTGATTTGATAGAGAGTGAGACTTTGTTGGTGATGGTGGGGATGGTGGGGATGATGGGATGAAAAAAAAAAAAACAGAGTATCCAAATTTGTAGGGTTACCCATAAGTTAATTAGTGATTCTATTCACAAATAAGTTCAGCACTAACAAAGTATCCTAATTTCTAAAATTTTGGGCTAAGATCTCAGTACCGAAAATTGGAAAAGAAATTTTAAATCACAGTAAGGAAAAGGAATGGGAATTGGCAATTATGATCAACGAGATTGCAAAAATAAAAAAAATGAATGAGAATGACTTTATCTCTATCCAATTGGTCATTTTTTACAATTGTTTTTCGTGTACAAAAAGCCTAAGTTCAAGTTTGATTTGTTTTTGTATAATTTATTTTTTTAATTTTGACCCATAATTTATTTGTTTAAGATTTCAATCTTGTTCTGATTTTTTTTTTTAATGCATTCTCTCAGCTAAATTAATAATGTCTACTCTTAAAAGGATGCACATCATATTAATAAAAAAAAATTATTTATCAAAAAAAAAAAATGGATGCACATCATTAGACAGTTATGAATTTTTATGATGAAAATTGCCAATATTTGTGGTGTGTGCTAAAGTCAATTTGTGGTAAAATTATAAATTGCAAATTTATTGTGTGTGCACCAATAAAAAAATGTTATATTTATGACAAAGTATGTTTTAGATGCAGTTTAATCTCGGTTTTTTTTTCCTTCTTCTTTTGTGTGTGTGTAAATTTCATTGATATATTTTAACAAACACTTAATAAGTAAGGAAGATAGAATGGTTATCAAACATTTTAGTAACAACCAAACGATAATAAGGACACAACAACCATTCAATAGAGTAACTCAATACAATAGTCCCACAAATTCCTATTAAATCAAAGTAAATGGGTTTCGTGGAATCCAACTAACTCTTCATATATGTGTGTATATATACATAGATAATATATATGCATAAGAAAAATCAACAAAACCCATAAAAAAATATATCCAAAATCCTACATGCATCTAAAAAAAAACAAAGGGAAAATCGTTACAGTTTGATTTTGGGGAAAAAAAATTTGTAATCAATATATATATACACACAATAACCCCCATTTGATTTGATAGAGAGTGAGACTTTGTTGGTGATGGTGGGGATGATGGGATGAAAAAAAAAAAAAAACAAACAAACAAACAAACAAACAAACAAACAAACAAAGTATCCAAATTTGTAGGGTCACCCATAAGTTAATTAGTGATTCTATTCAGAAATAAATTCAGCACTAACAAAGTATCCTAATTCTAAAATTTTGGGCTGAGATCTAAGTATCGAAAATTGGAAAAGAAATTTTAAATCACAGTAAGGAAAAGGAATGGGAATTGGCAATTATGATCAATGAGATTGCAAAAATAAAAAATGAATGAGAATGACTTTACCTCTATCCAATTGGTCATTTTTTACAATTGTTTTCCGTGTACAAAAAACCTAAGTTCACGTTTGATTTGTTTTTGTATAATTTATTTTTTTAATTTTGACCCATAATTTATTTGTTTAAGGTTTCAATCTTGTTCTGATTTTTTTTTTAATGCATTCTCTCAGCTAAATTAATAATGTCCACTCTTAAAAGGATGCACATCATATTAATAAAAAAAATTATTTATCAAAAAAAAAAAAGAATGCATATCATTAGACAGTTATGAATTTTTATGATGAAAATTGTCAATGTTTGTGGTGTGTGTTAAAGTCAATTTGTGGTAAAATTATAAATTGCAAATTTATTGTGTGTGCACCAATAAAAAAAATATTATATTTATGACAAAGTATGTTTTAGATGCAGTTTAATCTCGGTTTTTTTTTTCTTCTTTTGTGTGTGTGTAAATTTCATTGAAACATTTTAACAAACACTTAATAAGTAAGGAAGATAGAATGGTTATCAAACATTTTAGTAGCAACTAAACGATAATAAGGACACAACAACCATTCAATAGAGTAACTCAATACAATAGTCCCACAAATTCCTATTAAATCAAAGTAAATGGGTTTCGTGGAACCCAACTAACTCTTCATATATGTATGTATATATACATAGATAATATATATGCATAAGAAAAATCAACAAAACCCATAAAAAATATACCCAAAATCCTACATGCATCTAGAAAAAAAACAAAGGGAAAATCGTTGCAGTTTGATTTTGGAAAAAAAAAATTGTAATCAATATATATTCACACAATAACCCCCATTTGATTTGATAGAGAGTGAGACTTTGTTGGTAATGGTGGGATGATGGGATAAAAAGAAGAAAAAAAAAAAAAACAGAGTATCCAAATTTGTAGGGTCACCCATAAGTTAATTAGTGATTCTATTCACAAATAAATTCAGTACTAACAAAATATCATAATTTCTAAAATTTTGGGCTGAGATCTAAGTATCGAAAATCGGAAAAGAAATTTTAAATCACAGTAAGAAAAAGGAATGGGAATTGACAATTATGATCAATGAGATTGCAAAAATAAAAAATGAATGAGAATGACTTTATCTCTATCTAATTGGTCATTTTTGACAATTGCTTTTCGTGTACAAAAAGCCTAAGTTCAAGTTTGATTTGTTTTTGTATAATTTATTTTTTTTATTTTGACCCATAATTTATTTGTTTAAGGTTTCAATTTTGTTCTGATTTTTTTTTAATACATTCTCTCAGCTAAATTAATAATGTCCACTCTTAAAAGGATGCACATCATATTAATAAAATTTGTTTATTTATCAAAAAAAAAAAGGATACACATCATTAGACAGATATGAATTTTTATGATGAAAATTACCAATGTTTTGTGGTGTGTTAAAGTCAATTTTTGGTAAAATTATAAATTGCAAATTTATTGTGTGTGCACCACTAAAAAAAAAATTATATTTATGACAAAGTATGTTTTAGATGAAGTTTAATTTCTTTTTTTTTTTCTTCTTTTGTGTTTATGTAAATTCCATTGAAACATTTTAACAAATACTTAATAAGCAAAGAAGATAGAATGGTTATCAAACATTTTAGTAACAACCAAACGATAATAATGGCATAATAACCATTCAATAGAGTAACTTAATACAATAGTCCCACAAATTCCTCCTAAAAGTAAATGGCTTTCGTGGAACCCAACTAACTCTTCATATATGTGTGTATATATACATAGATAATATATATGCATAAGAAAAATCAACAAAACCCATAAAAATATATCCAAAATCCTACATGCATCTAGAAAAAAAACAAAGGGAAAATCGTTACAGTTTGATTTTGGAAAAAAAAAAAATTGTAATCAATATATATACACACACAATAACCCCCATTTGATTTGATAGAGAGTGAGACTTTGTTGGTGATGGTGGGGATGATGGGATGAAAAGAAAAAAAAAAAAGAGTATCCAAATTTGTAGGGTCACCCATAAGTTAATTAGTGATTCTATTCACAAATAAATTTAGCACTAACAAAGTATCCTAATTTCTAAAATTTTGGGCTGAGATCTAAGTACCGAAAATTGGAAAAGAAATTTTAAATTACAGTACGGAAAAGGAATGAGAATTGGCAATTATGATCAATGAGATTGCAAAAATAAAAAATAAATGAGAATGACTCTATCTCTATCCAATTGGTCATTTTTGACAAAAAGCCTAAGTTCAAGTTTGATTGGTTTTTGTATAATTTATTTGTTTAAGATTTCAATCTTGTTCTGATTTTTTTTTTTTAACGCATTCTCACAGCTAAATTAATAATGTCCACTTTTAAAAGGATGCACATCATATTAATAAAATTTATTTATTTATCAAAAAAAAAAAAGGATGCACATCATTGGACAATTATGAATTTTTATGATGAAAATTACCAATGTTTGTGGTGTGTGTTAAAGTCAAATTGTGGTAAAATTATAAAT